AACCGAGGAAGGCGAGCATTTGAGCTTATAAAACTTAAACTTTGTTTTATTTTTTAAATAAGCGATCGTTTCACTTGATAAGACCCTTATTCATCGTCTGAAATCATTTAAAGCCCTTTGAACAGTTTGCACTGAAAGTGTCTTTAGGACCTTGAACTCTTTGGTTCCCATTGAAGTCCATTATATGGAGAAAAATCCTGGAATGTTTTCATCAAAAACCTTAATTTCTTTTCGCCTGAAGAAAGAATGACATTAATATCTTGGATGGCATGGGGGTGAGTAAATTATCAGCAAAAGTTTTTTTTAAAAGTGACCTACTCCTTTAATACATCCCTAATGCTAATACACTCTAAAAAGTGATCAGTTGACAACATCCAAATTAAGGCAATTGATTTTCTCTCTTTTTTAAGTAAATAAACTAATTGAAGAAATTAAGTTACGTGGCGTTCACATACTTCAAATATGGAAGTCCCATGGTACATGGAAAGCAAATGAGGGAATACTTGGTATGGGAATGAGGGAAGACTGATATAGAAGTTTCATGATAGACAACGACAGAATAAAAAGAGCAAAATGTACAAGAGGAGTGATTGTGAACTTCACCTGACAAGAGTCGGCTCTCAATGTCGAAACTCAGTGTCCCTGATAAGCGAGAGCAGCATGACTCACTTACACGTGATGTACCTTTAAACAAAAGGCATCTGACAACAAAGGGCTGGAGCTCGCAACACTAACAATCACACAGAAAAAGGGGATGAAAAAAGAGAGAAAGAAGAAAATAAAAGGCGGCTTGCTTGAGGCGCAGGCATGCCTGAGCGGACTCGCTGGAGAAACTTTCCACTGAAGCTCTGACCTCAGCGACAAGGGCGCACACACACACACAGAAAGACTGCACAACAAATCCAAAACTGTCAAACTCCGACCTGTAAGCGCTCACACAGAGCGTAAGCCTCTCTGTGAAACATGTCCCAGAACGGCTTTCGGCCCCGCGCCATGGTCGTATTTACTGCCAGTAGTGCAAACGCAAACAAAAACAAATCTCAGACAGTGACTTTGCCACAGCTTCATTTGGATGGCGTCTACTATGTTGTTGTGGGGAGAACTGTGAGGAGAATGATTTACCCCCATCCTCTAAAAGCAAATATAACATTGTAAAGAAGAATTCAGAGTCGTAAATATCGCACATCACCTACAACAACGCTCTCACTCACACACACACACTGACGTCTTTCTCTGTCATATCTTTATGAACTCTCTGTTCTTGCATTGGCCTTGCCCCAACCCTGACCAGAGAGAGAGAGAGAGAGAGACAGAGAGAGAGAAATAAAAAGGAGGAGTGCGTGTGGCTGGGGTGAAGTAAGGACATGAAGCTGATGGATCCAACTGGGCCATGAGGAACACGTCCAGACCAAGAGAGCTGGGAGGAGTGAAAGAACAGTACCGCTTCTCTCTCTCTCTCACACACACACAACTTTTGCTCAACAGAACTAAACATACATATGTAAGACACATGGAAACACATACTAGGGTTGTCATGACACCAACATGTCAGTCATTTTAATGCATGATTATTTCCCTTAATATGACATTTAGATCACCTTTCCAGTCTGTCTAACACTCACTAAATCTTTTAAAACACTAATAAATGTGATTCTTTTGAATCTTTTATTCATCCTGAAAAAATGTAACGTGCATATTGAATATATTTGTGCATCTTAATAATTGAAAGGCAAATATTGTGTAAAATTGTCTAAACGGTCACTTTCTTGCAGATTAACAGTATTAAATTATTTTATTAAAAAAATCGTACTGGCCCCAAACCTTTGACCGGTGGTGTATGCAAATATCAGTATTGGCAGAACTTTAATACTGGTGTACCGCACCCCAGTTTTATTTTAGGATTTAAGTGTTGATACTATTCCCAACCTAACATGCATACATCCTGACAGCATCTGAGGAATGGGCACATCTAGTGCTGTCAAGGAACAAAGCCTTCTGTATTACCGCTATTGATAGACTTTTGACTTGTCAGTCCAGGCATTGCGATCTCTTAAAAACCGACCCCTATGTCCCGTCCAAAAGTCCATACCTTTCCAGCCTGCGGCTGCACTATAGGACACCTACCAGCGCCCGACAATGAGAAACACTCTGCTCTCATTCATCCGTCCGTCTGGTTCAAACGCCTGTCAAGCAGTGAAGGAATAGCAGCACGGATCAATCCCTACAAACCCATGGCTCACGTCCACCCATTTGATGCCAAGTCTCATGGTGGGAGCTTAAACACTATGATACCTGGCCAAGCTCACCACATCCTTCCCTTCCGCTCCGACCCTAACCCTAAATAGTAGCAACACATTAGCAGTGCGAGTACTCTGTGTGAGATTTCTGACAAACTTAGAACTACTTTGAAGAACAAAAAGGGACGTGGGAGTTCATGTGGTTCTATCTTTGGCGGATAAAGCAAAAAGTAAAGCTCTGATGTGGAAATGATACGATAACCACAGAATTCAACATTAATGATATGAATGAGAAGAGTAGTCATTTATGAGAGTAATCACGTCATGGATAGAGCTCATATTTGACTTCATAGCACCAGATAGAAACTGATATTTCAGTTTATCCACTCCAGTTTATCAGCATTTCTGCAAAGCCAAGATGTTAGAAATTGACTTTCTGTTAATCTCTATACTGTACGTCTGTTGACTCAAAAGTGGCATCACTGTCTTTTTTTCTTAACCAAAACTTACACAACTTTCTTCTGATGAATACAGGAGAGATTCTGTCCACTAAGCTCTTTTCTGCACATTGAAATTGGTTTTAGGACAGATGCTGTCAAGCTCCAAAAAAGGGCAAAAATGCACATACAATAAAATTATAAAACTATTGTGCTTTATGAAGCCAAACGATAGCTTTGTGTGAAGAAATGTTAAGCAGTTTAATTACTGAAAATGTAGTTCTCAAAACTCTTGCTTTTGTACAGCTAATACCAATATGCAAGAGAACATGACATTTAAAGGGACACTCAATTTTTTTTTTTTTTTTTTTTTTTTTGGAAATAAGCTCATTTTACAACTCCCCCAGAGTTAAACCGTTGTTTTTATACCGTTTTTGAACCCATTCAGCCGTTTTTCTGATATTTAGAAGAATATCAGTAACCAAACAGTTTCTGGTCACATTGACTTCCATAGAATATATTTTTTCCTACTATGGAAGTCAATGTGACCAGAAACGGTCTGGTTACTGATATTCTTCTAAATATCAGAAAAACGGCTGAATGGATTCGAAAAGAGTAAAACCCAACTCTAACTCTGGGGGAGTTGTAAAATGAGATTATTTCAAAAAAAGTGGAGAATCCCTTTAAGAGATGGATGACCAAGAGGGTGATTTTTTTTTTTTTTTTTAAATCATGGCAACTGTTTTTTTTTTCTTGCCCAAAAACAATCACATGACTTCAGAATACTTGAATATATAGCTATATACAGTAACAAGAGAAACTCTTCACTGTTTTTTATTTTATTTTGTCCTTTTTGGAGTTTGACTGCCACAGTCCATATAATATAAAATAATATCTTATTTTGTGAAAGTCATGCATGTTTGGAAGAGCATGCATTTTCCTTTTTGCGTAAAGTAATTAATTTAAATACATTCTACTTACCTGTCAAAAGTTTGAAAATATATATATATATTTTTTTATGTGTTCAAAAGAAGTCTCATGCTCACCAAGGCTGCATTTATTAATAAAAAATCCAGTAAAACAGTATATTGTGAAATACTGTACAATTTAAGAATATATTTTAAAATATAATGTATTCCTGTGATGGTAGTTGAATTTTCAGCATCATTGCTTCAGTGTCACATGATCCTTTAGAAATCATATTTCAAGAAACATTTCTTACTATTATCAATGTTGAAGAAAGAAACATTTCTTACTATTATTATCAATGTTGAAGAAAGAAACATTTCTTACTATTATCAATGTTGAAAATCTTATTAATATAATATAATATAATAAAATATAATGTGCTAAATATTTTTGTGGAAACAATGATACATTTTCAGGATTCTTTGATGCATAAAAAGTTAAACAAACAGTGTTTATTTGCATTTATAAAATTTATTAAAGCCTTTGTTAAACAGGGAAAACATCCATAAAATGTTACAAAAGCTTTCTGTCACTTTTGATCAATCCTTGATGAATTAAAAGTATTCATTTCTCACTCTTATTTTTGAAAACTTACCACAAATGTTTGAATTGTATCACGTTTTCTACAAAAATTGTAAGCAGCAAAAAAAGTTCTCTTACAGGTTTTTTTTTATTATAAACATTGATGGTGATGATAATAATAAGAAATATTTCTTGTAGCAAACCATCAGTAATGATGCTGATGTAAAATACAGCTTTCACACTGCAGAAATAAATTGCATTTTTAAATTGATTAAAACAGAAAACAATTCTAATTGATTGATTAATTTATTTAGTTTTTTATTTATTTATTTATTTATTTTTTATAAATGCAGCCATGGCGACCATAAGAGACTTCTTTCAAAAACATTAAAAAAATGGTAATGTTTAACTTTGGACAGGTACTAGATGATATAAATCCATAATGTAGATAAGATGCAAGACAAATCAAATATTACAGATAAAGAACTGAGGAATCCTTGCAGATTCTTCCACATTACTTGGATATTAGTCATTTTTGGTGCTCTGCAAATTTTTTACCTTGATACTAAAAACACAATTTGTATGAATGCACATGAGAGTACTTTCAAAAGTTCTGAGGGCTGACAGTAATAGGTTATCCCTATTAAGCAAACATTTTATAGCTGCCTTAAACCCTTCAAAGGAAAAAAAAACCTATACGCTGTATGGATATAGATGGGTCATTCTGAATGAAACACTGATTGGAGAATTTCTGGTTCCTCTTACACATGGCCTTGATCAGTTAATCTCTTAAACCCTCCTTATTTCCCTCTCCTTTAACTGTGCCCCCTCCTACCTCTCTCTTTACTTCCTCTCCATCCCTCCATATCTCTGCCTGGGTCGACTTTAACAAGCGGCTCTGTAAAACAGGCACAAAAGCTGCTGTTACATTCCAACCCTGGAGCTACACACACACACACCTCTCATTTCCCCGTTCACACGCATTCCAAGGATATCATCAAAGAACAAAGCACTAGACCTGCCAACCTCATCCCACTACTGATGACCTTGACAGTAGGCTTGCCGCGATAGACGGTGTTGACGGTGTTACCGGTTTTAAGCCCCATCACCGGTGACATCACTTTCCCACCGTGACACCGCGATGTCTTGACTTTTTTTTTTTAAAGTATTCGTTTTTGCTAAAATATTTATTTGAATTGATTAAAAATAATAATTTTCAATTATTTAGTTCTGAAGAGAGCATTATAATTAAAAATGAACTGCGCAACGCGTGCCGTCACGTCACAGATCAGCAAGCATCAGGATTCCATTTAGCACGTGTGGAGACGAGAACGAGTCAAATTACAGAAAAGCAAGATAATGGCGGAAGATTTGGTGTCAAAACGCAATGCAAAAGCGCCTGTTTGGCAATATTTTGGCCAATATATATTAATGTTAATAAATGCCAATTTATAGTGTTTTACTTTTTTTTAGAGTGCTGTCATTTATGTAGGCTAAGGTCCTTTTTAAAGTTTTTATTTTATATTCGTCTCTTTTTATTTGGTTTTATCTTATTTAAACTTTGTTTAATTTATTTAGGCCTATTTTGTTTTCTTATTCGTTAATAAACGTTTTATTTTTTTTGGGCCCACAGTTTGCCGATTTTCACTTTTTTCAGCCTATGCATGGGGTTATTTTTATTCGTTCGTTATGCTAATAAAAGTTCTGTCTATATTTTATTCGTTTATTATTCTAATAAAAGTGCTGTCTAAATAAAAGTTTATTGTCAGCGAGTTGTTTTTTTTTTTTTTTTTTTTGGTCCATTCCAGCAATTGACGCTGAATTGCAATTGACGCTTATTTCGAAAGTGAAAGTATGTCATTTATGTAGGCTAAGGTCCGTTTTGAAGTTTTTATTTTATATTCGTCTCTTTTTAATTGGTTTTATCTCATTTAAACTTTGTGTAATTTATTTAGGCCTATTTTATTTTCTTATTCGTTAATAAACGTTTTATGGTTCTTATTTGTTTGGGCCCACATTTTGCCGATTTTCACTTTTTTCAGCCTATGCATAGGGTTATTTTTATTTGTTCGTTATGCTAATAAAAGTCTATAAATAAAAGTTTTATTATCAGCGAGTTGTTTTTTTTTGTCCATTCAAGCAATTGACGCTTATTTCGAAAGTGAAAGTATAACGCGCACGCATTTAAAAGCTATTTAACCCCCCCCGCCCTGCCCTCCACGGTGACACCGGGATTACCGGTGTTGTCACACGTCGATTAACCGGTGGGAAATTTTCCTCACCGCGGCAACCCTACTTGACAGTGATCTCTAGTTCACCCATTTTTATGAACCTGCTTCCTGCCTGATCTATCGTTGCTCGAGCGTCAAATAGAGATTTCAATAATTATTTGTAATTTAAATAAATATTTAATTAATAGTAAACATTAACAATGCAAAATGCACTACTATTGCTCATACTAAGGGGTTATGACTATTTTGTGCATGATGTGCTGCATAACTGCATCATTATACAGTATAACACAAACATGAATAATGACAGATCAAAATGATGTGCAATTACTTTTCTATGCAATCAGAATTATGATTTTGGTGGAGGATACACATATAAGTATGAACATATAATTTCCATTCTTCAAAAAATGAAAATTAAATAGGCCTAATCATTATCAGAAGAAAGTAAATTAGATTTAAAGAAAATGTTACATACTAAGGAAATTGGAATATTGGAATATTTTCCAGCTAAAAGAAAAAAAAATCAGACTGCTGCATTATGAATGCATAGAGTTCTGTTCAAAAGTCTCAACCAAGTAAGATTCTCTCTCCTTTTAGGACAGAAATTCATACTTGGTTCAGCAAAACATGCATTAAAATTTTAAGACTTATGTTGTTACAAAATTCTTTATAATCTATTAAAATAAAATAAAAAACAGTGTATTATTTTAAATTATAATAACATTTTAAACTGCTTTTAAACGCTGCTTTTAATATATTTTGGATTAAATAAATGCAGCCTTTGTGAGCATAAAATACTTCAAAAACATTAAAAAAATGTCAGAGAACCCAAACTTTTGAAAGGTAATGCATGCTCAGTATACATCAAATGCATATAAGCTTCAAATTATTAATGACAACTAAACAATAGCCACATTTTTTTCAACTCAAGAAAGCTCCTTTGGTTCTACCCTGAATATTTCTCTCTGATCTGATTATGATCCCGGAGCTCCGCCTCTAACCCGTCAGACTGCTGCACAATGGCATTTCAAATCTCTTAAAGGATGCAAGAAAGGGAGGGAAAAAATATTTGAAATGGAGCAAGAGGGAACGAGAAGGATGAGAGAGAGAGAGGACAAGAAGACACTCCACAGGGTGACCCCCATCACGGTGGCCTGAGGTGGGCTGGGCTTAAAATCGTCTCACTCTCTGACCAAACCCACCAAAGAACTCTGTCACCCCGCCCCACCCCACTACTGCCCAACCCTAATGCGGGTTTCTGAAGCCCCCGACGTCTCAGCCTGTGGCCCCTTAATCCACTGTGACATGGGGAAAAAAGCAGTGCAGCAACAGCGTTACCATAGAGATGGGTGGCAATGGCGCTGAGCCAAACAGGAGCATGCCATGGGCAGAACATGTGCCGATGACATTAGGAACTGGAGGTTTAGAAAGACAACCTGCCAAACAGGGGCGTTTCTAAGGGGCTGAGCCCAAGACATCAGGAGGCATTGCACACCTCTTAACTTGCCTATATCTCAACTCTCCTTTCTCAGAGATGCAAACTCACCAAGGGTGAAAAAGATTTGTGACCTTTCTAAGCCCAGTTACACACAGCAGCAGAATACGGTTGTCATTTCTCTATTTGAGTCCTTAAAGGACAAGTTCGGTATTTTACAATTAAAGCCCTGTTTTAAGATTGTTTCTGATGAAATAGAATGGTTAAGATTGTTTTTAAGACAGATGCTGCTGCCCCGAGAATTTTCGGATTCTGTGTTAGCACCCCCACACCCTACAATGGTAGCATAGGTGCACAGGAACAATCCTTCATAAAACGAATAAAACGTTAGTGTACAAAGACGTGAAACTCACCGAGTGTTCACTGATATATGCTCACACAAAAATCGCTGCAAAAGATGCTTTCCAACAGGTGTTTTACCATTCGTTGTAAAACTGCAGACCTATTTTTCCGAACACCTCACAACCATACATTCTTCCGTTGAGAGCTTGAATAATAGACACTCCAGGCCAGTTGGTGGCGATAATGCACTTTGCCAATCGCAAGCAAACCACTTGTATAGTGTAGCCTACGATACAGCGACTGCATAAGAAAGAATACAAACAACCCCATTTCCGTTTCCGGCGGCGGAGTAATACCGTACATCACAGAACATACAATACAAGTCAATGGAGTTGGACAAAAACTACGATAAAACCTGTTGGAAAGCATCTTTTGCAGCGATTTTTGTGTGAGCATATCAGCGAACACCCCAGACCACTCGGTGAGTTTCATGTCTTTGTAAACTAACGTTTTATGCGTTTTATGAAGGATTGTTCCTGTGCACCTATGCAACCATTGTAGAGGTGTGGGGGTGCTACCACAGAAACTGAAAATTCTCAGGACCGCAGCATCTGTCTAAAAAAATCTTAACCATTCTATTTCATCAGAAATGATTTTAAAACAGGGCTCTAATTGTAAGATACCAAACTTGTTCTTTAATATGGTTATGCTTAGACACAGTCCAGTGATTTACAAACTCACACCTGTACGTTTTTTCAGGAGTAACACAACCGCATTCTCGGAAAACTTGTGCAGTGTGAAAGAAACCGGACTGACTGGACATCTAGTCGGTCACATCATGCAGTACGAGTGAGCTGCTCCGCGATGCACAAACGCTATCTACAGTGTTTCGCTTTAGAAGAGATACAGCATGAGCTGTGTTCTCCACAGGAGATTCGACTGTCAGTTCAACGAAATTTCAGTGAAATTAGACATTTTTAATCCAAAATAATGCACTGAACTGCACTATTACAGTCTATGGTATGGTTTACCATTAACGTTGTGTGTATGTGCATATGTATAGGAGGAAAGAGAGAAAAGCGAGCATTGAGCAAGAGCAAATTCTATCAGTCAGCATCCAGTACAGTAAACAGTCAGTCACAGCACTGTACTAAGTTTAAACAACTAACATTTACTTAATTCCTTTCTCATTTCCACTAAAGTCCTGAGCAGTTGCAGGCAAGAAACATTCAGGGCTTTATACTAAAATCATTCGGGGCATATAGAGTAAGAAGTGGTGTTTCTATTTCCTGCAGATGATGTTCACTAGTATTGCAGTCATGTTAAAACTATCACAGCTCTTGTCTCCAGAGACACACAGGGGTTTTTTACTAAAATACCAACATAGGGCTTCTTATAGTAAAAACATAAATCGGTAACACTGAAGCCCCTGTGCACTCACACACACAACACACACACAAAGCACCCTTCTCACCCCATCAAAACAACTGCTTCCTTAGAACAAACCAGGGCAAATCCATTGCACGGTTGAGCAAAAAACTACAAATCTGACGGACATAATAATTCTATTATAAATGATCAAATTCAAATCTTGAATTTCCACTTTCAACAAAATAAATTGACTATATAGACTATAATTAACATTAATTTAGTTCAGTGAACACATAAGAACAGGTATAACAATGTCTATGCAATAATTCTATAGGAACATAAATGCGACTAAATGTGAGCAATACTTGAATATGAACATAAATATAAACTATTGTTGTCTATATATATTCTCAAATGTATTTTAATGCAGTTAGTATCAATATTACCTAAATAGTTTTAATTGTATGTGAAAGGATTGTCATCAACATAATATGCAATCATTGGGACACAGTCACACACACACCCCATTCTGGGAAAAAAGAGAGAAGTAAAAGAAGGCCAAGAGGGTGGAAAACCCTACACTCACTGGAGGGCAAGTAAATAAACTAAAACAACTACGATACAGAGTCAGCCAGGCATGACACACAAACCCTTCGGCAAAGTGAAGAATGCACAGTAGTGGCAGCTCTGTAGACTTCTCACAGCGCTTGATTCATATCAAAGACATATATGAAGAGTTGACTCGCACACCAAGTAAACTTCCATTCAGGAAAAAGACGACCTATAAGCTGCTTAGTGACTCACAATTGCATATATGTGCTGTTTTTTCCTTTTGTAGCATCAGGAACAAGTGTAGACATGCTAACCCTTTCTGCCTCCATTCACAAATATGTCTATTTATCAGCCTGAAGAGAGGCCCAGTCATCAGTGGGAGGGAATCTAACCCCCCCTCAGCTCTCTCCTAAGATTTCAGAAAGGGATTTTCCACCAAAGACTCTGCACAGATCAATGAGGGCTGTTTTATAAAACAATAACATGATATGCAAATTACCCATTAAATGTTCTAGACAGGAATGATAACACAAAGATGACCTGGCTTACATTAAAAGTATAGCTTACATTTGCCAATTGTAAAGAACACAACATTCTCAGATACTCCTTTGATAACACTTTTTCTTACCTTCTCTGTGTGTGAGATTCCCTCTGGTATCATCTGATTTCTGGAAGTTTATGCTGGCGTAGGCACTGAGCTCTTCTATACCTTCCACGGCTCCCAGCTCCACTGATCGAGATTGACACGCATTCCAGTCTGGAACATGCTGCTCTCCATTCTGCACTAGATCCAGATCGATGTAGTTCAGGCCGTTCTGGCCATGGTTTGTTAACGTGGGAACTGGGCCTGAAGTGTTTTCCCTTCGTCCATTGGCTACTGTAGGAGCAGTAGAAGCAGCAGAGGCCTCACCAGGTCTTAACCATACATTCTCGAAGGAGGCGGAGCTGTGGCGCTTTACATCACCTGACTGACAGGTGGCTGATGTGTCAATTGACCCTCTTGTTGTAGTGGAGGCAAAAGTCTCTGAACTGTGTCGCCGTCGACCCTGTGGGTCAGCCCGGATTACTTTAGCCCCCTGGTTCCACCCGGAAGTGGAGTTAACCCGTGTAAATGCACTAAGACCTGACAAAGGGCCGATCAGAGACTGTCTTCCTGGGGCACCGCTTAACGCCGTCCCGCCATGATTGGGTGATACAGAACAAAGAGGGGCATCCGCATCTGGCAAGACCTCGGTCCTCAGCATCATTTGTGTGTTAGGAAAGCTAGTGCGGGATGCTAACTGCATGCTGCAGTAGTCACGTTCACATATGCTCTCACAGGGCAGAGGAGGGGTGGATGCAACGTTTGATGGGGTGATAATGGCATAATCTGAACAGGAAGTGGAACACAACTGCCTGGCTTGTGACCCTGGCTGCATGTTCATGTACTCAGATGATGAAAGGTCTGATTGGGCCTCGGCATCACTTACAGAAAACACAGGTGGGTACAGCGACGCTAAGCTCGCTGAAAACGGCTTTTCATTGAACTCAATGTTGACATACTCGCCAGGACTTTTGGGCTCTGCGGGGAAGGGACTCTCACGTGTTCGTGGGAGAGTACTTGCTTTGATAGCATCCATTGACAGCCGTGTTGGCCGTGTCAGCCTACTGTTCCCCTCTGACCTTTTGGGTTTGACAGCAGACTGCTGGGAGTTGCCTTGACCACCTAAGCTATCGCTGCTCGTCGAAGACGAGGAAGATTCTGCATACGGCAATCGATTAGAGCCCGGTGGTATCCGAAGAGGACTCTGGTCCTGCTTCCTGTTGGCATGCTTGAAGGAGCGGGGCAAAGAGAAGTAAGCATACATTGGCCTGGGAGGATCTTCCACAGGGTTGAAAAAACAGTCTGGAGGCGTACTGGTCGTTGAACAACTAGCCGGGGACATGTTTATGTAGTCTCCACAAGAGGACACTTTACCTTCCATGCTCTCTACGGAGTGCTTAGGGTTGATGCCATTAGTCCAGATCTTGCCATAGTTTGTTGTGCCATCTGGAGAGCAGCTGCCACTTGGTGACATCATCATATAACCATTGGAGTCGACATGCGTGTGTTGCCGGGGGTTGATAATTTGCTGTGGTGCAGAAACACTTTTTGGACTCATTGGCATGTAGTCACCACTTTTCACCGTTGGGGTCGCAGGTGCGACGCCTGGCAGCATAGGCATGTAGCCATCATCTTTGTGATCTGGTCCACTGTGGTCTTTTGCTTGTGACGTGTCTATACCTTCTTCTGGGTATGAATGTGTAGGCATGAATGAGTGCCTGTAGGTTGACGACGATGATGATGCAGTGCGGCTTCGTGGGTATGCCGGCATCATTACAGTATACTCCTCCAGCGATCCGGCAGATGATTGTGAGGGAGTCTTTTGATGGCACGGAGTTGGCGGTGATGCACCGGAAGAATGAGTTCGTTTCCGGAAACATTTTTCCAACTCGGGCTCCTCTAGTCTCGATGGCGTTCCTCTGGATTGGCTTCGCGATTGGCTCCCGGTGCCTGGAAGTGAACCGGGCTTGGCCATGCATATGTAGTTGTTTATCTCCTCCTCCCTAGCAGGCGGTGTGTGGCCAAGCGAGTCCGGAGTCACGCTACGGAAGGAGCTTCGAAAGTCGCAAGGGCTGGATCCGTATTCATCAGAGGAAATGAATCCGCCATCACTGGGCGATCCAGATATGGAGGCGCTAGAGCGGCGTGGAAAGAGGCAGTCAGACGTGGATCCATGGCCGCTGGTGCTGCTGGAAGACAGGCTGACGGGGCTGATGGCCGAGGGGGAGCACCGCGAGGTGGGCGTGGGGATTGATCTGCTGTGATTGAGCGGAGGGTGAAGTCTGGATCCACCCCTGTGTCGCTGCGATTGGGGGCGGGCTGTGCTCGGGCTGCTTGGACTCCCATCCACGGACGCCGGTCTGGACATGGTGCCCTCCCCATCACTGGACGCTCTCACTCTGAATGAATGGCTGTGTTTTCCGGGTCTAACAGGAGAAGTGGCTGTCACACTCTCCGCCCGAGAGCGCCTGCCTAAGCCAACCTGACTGGGGGGAGGATTATTGTGATGATGCCTCCTGACAGGCACTGAGATGGGGTTTGAGCAGTTGGAAGATGACTGACTTTTGCTGCGGGGTCTGAACTCCTCACTCATGGCTTTCATGGCTTCTAATATAGTTTCGTGCATGTTCTGAGCCACAACTGAGTCATCAACTTGCATCCAAAACTCCCCAGGCCCTGTCACAGCGGATCTCCCAACTTCAATGAAAAAGAAATTCTCAGAGTGACCACATCTTCTAATGTTCATCAACTGCAGGACCACTGCGGCCGCATCTGAATTGAGTTTCACAAAACTGATAGTCTTATTAGTGAGGCATAATCTGTAAACACCAATCAAGTTCTTTACGTGACCCAGACCCTTTGGTTTCAAAATAACCTGCCATACCTCTTTGAAGGCAGGTCCCGGCGTGGCTTCGCCGTAATTATCTTCACCAATTCCGTGGCCTGTGGCAGTTTCGTGGACTTTACCTCTGTTATGAAGATCAACGAGGGCTTGATACCATGACTCCTGCTCTAACTCACTGTCAGCAGCGATGGCAAAGTACTCATCCTTGGCGTAAAGCGCAACAAGATGTTTGCTTTTAGAATCTGCTCTTTTGTTGATGTTAAAGCAGCTCTCCAGCAGAATGGACCTTTTCGGTGCTCCAGACTTGTGTCTCCACTTCTTCTCGTTTTCATAGTACTCCAGTCGGGACGGTCCAGAGGCACTCGCTGTCCTCAGTACAAAAAACCTTTTGTGCATGCTTTTGGGTTTCCTTAAATAACCCACCTTTTTCACATCCGAAAAACATCCTTGCTCCGTGGTCGGACTTGCCATGGTATAAAAAATAATTTATGAAAAAATTGCAGGGTTGAAAGTCAAAGCCTTCTGCCTGTACTCTTTGCCAAATGTGAACGGTGGGATATAATGTTTTCCATTGAGTACAAATAGAAAAATAGCACTCAAAAACACACTTTTGTGCGTACCGACAAAAGCTTAAATTATAACAGTTTCTTCAGCAGCATTACATTGTTAAAACTTAGTTTAAATAATCCACCAGGCATCCACAAAGAATATTGCAAGTAAGTTACCGGAAAGCACCAAGTTTATGATGTACAAAAATACAAAACAGTGAAAATTAGAAAACAGTGTCCTTTTCAGTCCGGAGATCCGAATGCATTATCAAAACAAGCGTAGTCAGCAGCGTCCGACGAACCCATTTACCCCGGAGATCAAAGCGCTGTCTGCAAAAATCCCCAAAGTGCAATTAAACAAAGCACGAGCGCAAAGTGTGCATCTGCCCGTTATTTACAACGGAAACGTACCGAGTCTGTTTGGACAGCTGTATAAGTTCCACCAAAAGTCGCTGAGTTTTCTCTTTTGCGAAGCCGTAACAGACCAAAACAAGGCAGCGCTCGTGTGTGTGTTTGTATGAAGGAGTTGAGACTGGGGTTGGGGGTGGGGGGTGGTTGCAGCCTAGCTTGTTACGACATAACCAAGAATCCCGCCCAGTTTGAAACTGACTTCGCTGATTGGAGGGATCTATTGTCAATCATCCTAGAGGGCTGTGAGAGACATGTGATTCAATGTGATTCATCCCAGTGACTCGAACCTTTTGAATAAGTTCACCAAGAAGATTCATTTACACTGATGTTTCGTGACCTTTCTTTAGATCCAGCGTGAAGCATGTGAGAGAACGATTCGTTCAGTTAAAAGATTTATTAAACACACTGATTCATTCACGAGCGACACACACAACTATAAAGTTTTATTTAGAGGCGGTGTTGAAATACACTATGTATCTATGCGCTGCCGTTATTTATAAACACACAATTGTAAAATAAGTCATACGTTTCAGTGTTCATGTTACTGTCTATTTACATGGATAAAAATAGTGACAAAACAATGTGGGTCTACTTGTGTAATTGGAGGTGTTTTGTAGGATAGGCCTACATTGTTATCGGTATTATGACTATAATGATTAAGTATAGTTACATGTAATGAATGGACAGTGTAATGAAATGTGGACTTTTTTTTTCTTTCCTCCTGTTGGGAAAGCATACATTAATGAAACAAAATGAAAGACTACATTAACTCACAGAGACTATCCCCTGAAAATGAACTAGAAAATGTACATTTAACAGAAAACATGGAATTATAACATTAACATAAATTATAATAATAATAATTTAAAAAAAGAATCCTGTGGATGATACATTGAAAATATATTTCTGGTTAAAAATAGACTTGGATAAAATGAAATTCTGACAAAGAAAGATAAATAACAGCACATAGATCTTTTAAGGTTGGTTCTGATTTTTTGTAAATAATCTAAAATCTGCACATCCCTCTTGGATTACCTGACATAGGTGTTTTATCTATAATATGACAATCATAATGTCTTTGACAATGGGTCACTAAAATGTGTTGTTATTTGTTATGACTGTTCAGTGAATAGTCATCGCTAGCCAAATGTTCGTTTACAAATTAATTTAAATGAAGCACCTATAATCATCAAGCATACAATCAGAATTACACGGTAGGCCTAAAAACATTTTTACATCTAACTTGAAGTAAGGGTCAATTCAGGTTGATTGGTAGACTTTGTCCCAGTCATCTCATGGCAAAAAGTGCATAAGCCTGCAAATCTAGTTTAAGAATCTCGTCTCTGTATTCACTGAGCAATGCTGCCATCTGCAGTCAACATTGAAGACAATTTCTTCACATGTAAAGTTGTAAACAGCAACGTATACGTTTGATTCTTGTTGTGCCTTTTGAGTTTATACATGAACATTTAATTTAAACGTTTGATAAATCAAGTTTCATCTTGTTAGGCCTGAAAGCTGTTGAAATTTAAAGGTGCCATGAGGTTATTTTCTTACCTCAGCTCAAAAATATAAGTGCTGTCTAATTGTTTTCACTGCCAAAAATGTATTTTACCAATATTGTGGCTCCACCACTGGATATGTTCAACAGCTAACCTCCTACGGTCCCACATTTCTCTCTTTTACTTTTTTTTGACAACAGATTCAGATTCGGTTCAGACATCTGAACCGTACCGTCCATCACTGTCCATCCATACAGTGTATTTTGAGTCTGTGCTCTCACAGGGTACCAAAGTGTACCGTATTTGTGTAATGGGTACAATAAGGTTCATTATTTAACATTAGTTAATGTATAACATGAACTAACCATGAGCAATACATTTGTTACAGTATTTGTTAATCTTCGTTGATGTTAGTTAATGATAATAAAGCTGTTCACTGTTTAGTTCACAGCGCATTAACTAATGTTAACAAGATTTTAATAAAGTATTAGTAATTAACGTTTACAAAGATTAATAAATGCTGTATAAGTGCTGTTCATTATTAGTTCATGCTAACTAATGTAGTTAACTAATGTTAACTAATGAACCTTATTGTAAAGTGTTACCGTGTAATGATACAGTAACTCTTTTTGCAATGGTCAAAGAGTTCACTTACAGGGAAAAAAAAAAACAACAACTTACAAACGTCATGAGTGATGAGGTCACGCGACCAGAAGTCCCGTTGCGTCACTTCCGTGTTTACTACCTGACGAAACATGGTGAAATGAAAGTAAAATCCGACGTGTCCTACCCTTTTTATTACAGTCTATGATCATAATCTTTTCATTACAGTCTATGGTCCTACTGTTGATCGCTAATTTTAGGACTCGGGAATCGCTTGACACAACATCCAATTTACAACGTAGGAACTTCGAGCATTCAAAACAGCAGCTGTACATTCAGATGTAATGGTAAGTCATGCACAGTAATTCTGTCTATGTAGCCAAGAATACTTTATTTATTCCTCAAAATAATATTGATTGTATCAATATAATATTATAATTGTATCAATATTGTATTGTATTGATTGTATCAATATAATATTATAATATTGATTTTATCAATATTATTGTAAAATGCTCTGTAAATGTTTCAAACAATTAAGAAGATACAGTAAATGTCTTGTTTTGATGGTATTTTTATGTGAATGCGCTTGTGTGTATCACTTACTATGAATTAATGATGACGGTATTGTCAAATGAAATGAAATATGCTATAATACCTTGAAATTACCCATTTACAACTATTTTAGATTCAGATAAAATAAATGACTACATTTAATGATAAAAAAGTATAAAAAGTTTGTTTGTGCCAAATACACATTTTTAAAAATGCACGTCATCTTTTGGAAATAGACAGAAAACTTTGATGACTCCTCCTGCACCACACAGTTTTTGTCCTATCAGATGCTCTCTAGAATGGAATTCCTCCAATCATGCTTCATGATTTTACATGTTTTACAGACAGATGATATGAATTGGACTGGTATTTGAACACAGAAGCAGTCTTTCAAGAAATGTAAACTAAAACTTTTACATAGATAAGAAGTGTATGAGAATGTGGTTGTGTGTTTTAGATGCGCAACAGACACCGGGGATCCAATATCGGCCTGCTCCTGCTGGCCTCTCAGGTTTTCCAGCTGGGAATAGACAACATCCCACCTGTCACTCTTGCAACACTGGGCCTCAATGTCTATTTGTTCCTGTTTCCAGTCAAACCCCTCCTACAGGTAGATATTATCAACTATTATATACCATACCATAACAAAAATCTGACGATAGCAAGTGAATGTATAAAATTTCCCAGCCATTAAACATATGCATACTTTACCGTTTATTTAAAAGGTTATTCAAATTTGTAGACACATTTCTTAATATGTTAGTGCTGATAAGACGTTTTGTAAACCTGGTCTGTTTGTGTGTTTTTAGACGTGTTTAAGTGTTCGGGAGGCATACTGGTACGGAGATTGGACTCGTCTGCTGCTGTCACCGTTTCACCATGTTGACGACATGCATCTCTACTTTAACATGGCCTCCCTCCTTTGGAAGGGCATCAAGCTTGAGAGGAAACTGGGAGGCGCCTGGTTTGCGTACCTGCTCTCTGTCTTCTCTCTGCTCACCGGATTGGTCTACCTGCTCCTGGAGACAGGACTGACATGGATGACGGAAGACTCGTCGTATAGTCTACAGTGTGCGGTGGGGTTCTCAGGTGTGTGTTGTGTTGGATCATGATAACAACATCATTACTACAATTTAAAAGAACTGTTTTCCATTTCAATAGATTTTTACAATGTAATTTATTCCTGTGATCAAAGCTGTATTTTCTGTATCATTCCTCCAGTCTTCATTGTCACATTATCCTTCAGAAATCATTATAATATGATGATCTGCTGCTCAAGAAACATATATAAGATTAATATATTTCATAAATCATGATCATTCTAATGGAAAGTTCAAAAGAACTGTGTTTATTTAACTGTGTATCATTGCAAATGTCTTTACTTTGGTAGTACAAAGTACAAATCCAAGAATTGCACACACAAAATGCAAAATGCCTCACATCTAACACCTTTGCCATAATATTATGTTTTGGATATATCATACAGTTATTCAAAACCTAAAGCTCTTCTTTCACGTGCATCTATGAACATTTCTGGACAAAATTGAAAGTAATTTGGCAGAGAAATGTTGCAAACTTCATGAAATCAAGATTGAAACTTTAAAAAATTGTTTTTTTTACTTTAAGCGTTTGTGGTTGTGATTACAGTATTACACAGTCTGAAAAACCTAAAACGTGACCTTTGGCCTATTCTAAAGCCATGATTGGCTGATGTTAAGTAAAGCAATGAGTCTTTGCACATGTGAGGAGTTTGTGTGAGGCACTGATGAATTACTGGGGCATTTTGATAGGTTGTATTTGAAAACTTCTTTTTAGATTTTTATGATACACATCGAGAATTCTGCGTTGTGGTTTACAAAAAGTTTTTTTATGAAATTGAAAACTGAGTATTAGTGTAAGAATTAGTGTATTAGTGTATGGTTTTGCAGATTTGGATTTGTTAGATTGTCAGGTTTCAGAAATAGTGTGACGAGTAAGGATTTTGTGTGTGAGCAGTTGAAAAAAAACCGTTAATGAATCTTTGTGGAATAAAATTTGAAACTTTTGAAAGGTAGTGTATGTTTTACTATCACATTAAAATCCTGTGCATTGCTGAGAAGAACAAAAATGGAGTGGAACAACAGAAATCAATTAATTTATGGATGTATTTTTCAATTTCTCTTGTTAGAAATAAGCATTGCAGCTGTTTGTTGTTTGTTTTAGGTGTTCTGTTTGGGCTAAAGGTGGTGAATAATCATTATCATCCAGGCGGAGCTACTTACGTCATGGGGCTGCCCATAGCCAATCGCTACTCCTGCTGGGTGGAGTTGGTCCTCATCCATGTCTTGAATCCGGGGTAGGCATCACACTCATTTCAAAGACACTAGAGAAACACAGCAATACTATTAGTCTTAGGGCAGTCCCGAAATAGGGACCTTTTCCCCTCGTCATGCAGTGCCCCACATTTCATTTATGTTTTTTTTTTTTTACAATATTATTTTTTTTAATTGCTGTTTAAAAATCCATTTGTGCAGCCGTCATGTTCTAGCTAGAGCAGGAAAGTAACCAACCAGCACATTTGTAGACAGGTATTTCCCCCCTTTATTTATTTATTTATTTATTTATTTTTACTGTGATTTGACAATTCCATGTTTTTGTTAAAATAAAGAAATACAAGTTCAAGATGCTCTAAATCTGGTAAAATGCATTTATTGTTTGCATAATCTAATAAAAGAAAAGTTTTTTTTTAATGTACTAGCCTGTTATTCATAATATTTAGCAGACTGAACAGATGAGATACCATGGAGTAAATGAGATTGTATCACTCAAAACTGGGTAAATTAAGGTATTTTAGGGTCATTATCCATTATAATGGCAAATAGGCTTTCCAAAGATTGAAAATCAATACTTACGTAGTATAATTGTAGTACATCTCACTCGTGTCCCGCAAAATCACATCTACATCCTGCAACAGAGCAATAACCAGGTGGTTACACTACAGGCCATATGACATAATTTTTTTTTTCCCTAAAGTTTTGATTTATTGTTATTATTGATTCACAGCATATATTAACCCTTTGGTTATCTCCGGGGTCTTTTTGACCGGCAAATGACTTTTGGTGATTTTTTAAAAAAATCTCTTTTTTAAAAAAGTTATCTTTGTCCAAATGGTATGAAAACTTTTACGCCTCTTAACACTGTCTAGATCGACAAAAAAAAACAAACAAACAAAAAAAATATATATACATATATATATTGGAACGATATCTGTTTTTATGTTAGCGGTAAAAAATGCTGACACTTGTTTATCTTCGGGGTCCCTGGAGACCCCGCATAGTGGATATACAAAATTCATCATCAAAATCAGAAACAACGAAGAAACAAGTGTTTTTTTTTTAATTTAAAACTGCATTTTCCAAAAATCTTACATTAAATCATTTAAAATGATCCATGCTATCCCAATTATTGAAAGTTAGAAATCTGGGTCTTTTATAAAGTACATTTGACATAAAATGCATTTTTTTTTTAAAGCCTATTTAAATAAATATTAATTTATAGAAATTTAAAAGATATCAAAAATCCTCCAAAAACTGCACAAATGTTGAGTAAAAACATTAATAAACAAACTAAAATTACATTTGTAAAATGAGTGTAGATAATGAGTGTAGACATAAATGAAGATAATCAGAGGGTTACCACACTTTTACTCTTGCAGGACGTCATTTGTTGGACATCTGGCTGGGATCCTGGTTGGGCTGCTTTACACGAAAGGACCACTAAAGAGATTAATGAAAACATGTGCAGGTAAACGCAACAATTTCAGTGTTATGCATGTATTATATAACAAAATATGTTAATACTGTACACATATACACACTACTGTGCAAAGTTTGGGGTCAAAGATGTGTTAAAGTGATCAAAAGTGACCGTAAAGATATTTATAATTTTACAGAAGATTTCTATTTAAAATAAATGTTCTTTTTAACTTTCTATCAATAATTTTTCTTTAATCAATTTAATCAGTTTCCACAACAATATTAAGCAGCACAACTATTTCCAACATTGATAATAATAATAAATATTGAGCAGCAGATCATCATATTAGAATGATTTCTGAAGGGTCACGTGACACTGAAGACTGGTGTAATGATACTGAAAATACAGCTTTAATCACAGGACTGTTTTAACTCTATTTTAGATCAAATACATGCAGTCTTGGTGAGGATAAGAAACGTCTTTCAAAAATATTTAAAAACGTTTGAATATTAGAGCATGAGGATACTTACTCTGGGAATAAATGCACCCGGTCACATAAACGGTCTTCTCTATGTCATTTCAGGCTTTGTGACATCAAATGGGCATCATGGAGGGACATACTACAATTCATCAGGTATACAGTAACAGATCTGGATATCAAATCTGAACCATTTATCTCTTTTTGTTTTTATAGGGAAATATTCAAGTTGTTAAAAAGGCAGCTATTACTAAATCACATCTGTCCTCAGAAATGGCTATGACTTTGAGAGCCATTAAAGATGAAAGTTTTTAAGGACTGCTTACTAGTCCATTATAGTCCTCAAGTCAAGATGCATCATTTGTATGTGTGTGTTCACAGGATACAGTGGATATGGCATGCCGAATCCTCCAAACACACATTATGGACAGCAGTCATTTAATCGCAGGCAGTATGGCGCCCCCTACAGGGATCCGTACGACACACACATGCCCTCTGCGCCGCCCCAGCATCCCTATACAGCAGGACTGTCAGATGAGGAGCAGTACCAGGCCGCTATCAGGGCCAGCCTCAACGACACAGGTGAGTCAAGATGTGCTGAGAATGACCACGTTATTCCATTTAAAAGTGCTTAGTGCTTGTAAAAGTATTGTACTTTTATGGGGTTAGTAAGATTATTTAGTTTATTTATTTGAAAGAATTGACACTTTTATTCATAAAGGATGCATTAAATTGATCAAAAGTCATAGTATACTATAGTACCAGCTAGGGCTGTCAAACGATTAATCGATTCCAAAATAAAAGTTTGTGTTTACATAATATATGTGGGTGCACTGTGTATAATTATTTTAAATATATAAATACACACATGCTTGTATATATTTAAGAAATATTTTCATGTATACTGTATATAGATTTATATATAATTTATATTATATATAAATATAAATATCTAAATATAAATATTTCTTAAATATACATGGATGTGTGTGTGTGTGTATTTATATAAATACAAAATAATTATACACAGTGCACCCACATTTTATTTTGGATGCGATTAATCGCGAGACAGCCCTAGTACCAGTTACAAGGTGCAACTTTGTTATTTTTGCTTTGTAGGAGGCTCTACGCAGGCTAGACCTTCACAGGGCACTTATTCCTACTCTAACCCGACGCCTGAAGAGATCCGCTGGCGACGACTTCAGAGGTTTACCAGCTGAGCACTTGGAGAAGCTTGGGTAACACCACTAGATCGTTTACGTGAAAGACAACACTAAACAACCAATCGGAGCTAGCGGAGAAGTCTCTTTCCCCTTTAATGCTTCCAAGGCTGCTGCCTGTACTTTTAATAGCAAAAAGCATTTGTTTTTGCTTTAAATGCTGCTCGGAATGTATTTATGTTAAAAGTGTAACATCCATGACACGTGGTTGTAGATACGAGTGCCTTTTGCAGTGCTGAACGCAACTGTCTATGTGCCAATACGTCTTTCTAAAGTTTGTTTGTGAATCTTCTCTAGCACATTGCACTTGATTAATTCCAAACAACTTTTCTTCTTTAGTAACTAGTTTCTTAAGAAAGTATATTTTTTTGTAATCAAACAATAAACCATGCTTTTTCTGACATGTTGTTCATTGGTTCCAAGATACTTCTTTGCTCATATGGTATAGTATAAAATATTGAGTAAAAACGGGTCAGTATAAAGAGATGGAGATCAATTAAAAATTAGTCAGTAAGATTAAAAAAAGAAATAAAGAAATTAATGTTTATTCGGCATGGATGCATTAAACATCAAAAGTCACAGTAAAGACATTAACATCGTCACACATGGTTTTTATTTTAAATAAATGCTGTTCTTTTCAACTTTCCATTCATCAAAGATGCAGTTTGCACAAAATATTAACCCGTTTTCAACTGATGATAATCAGAAATGTTTCTCGAGCGTCAAATTATCATATTATAATCATCATATAGAAGACTGCAGTAATGATGCTGAAAATACAGCTTTGATCACAGGAATAAATTACATTTTTAAAATATATGATTAAATTAGAAAACAGCTATTATAAACTGTATTAATATTCCCCCAAAATATATATTTTTCTGTATTTTTATCAAATAAATGCAGCCTTGGTGAGAATAAGAGTCTTAAAAACATAAAAAAATTGTACTGTACCCAAACTTTTGAACGGTTGTGTATTTATTACATTTTTATACAGTACAGTGAGTTATGTTGAAGATAAAAAAGTGGAATATTTTAATGGAAAAAAAAAAATCAGGTCATTATTATTATATAGCACCAAAGTAATCTCTAGCTACATAAATACTCTTGACATTTAGTAAAAATATAAAGCAAAGCTGTTCTGTCAACAGTGGTGTTTCTGCAACTACGGGTACTTTCGAGTAACCCAATTAAAAAATTCTAGTCTATGAATTTAAATTTTAACCACCACATCTGTAATACATTTAAAATGTACACAAAATATAATCCAGTTGTTAAGATTTTAATCTAGAACATGTTTGCAACGTTACAATAACGTTTTATACATTTTTCTTAAGCAATTTCTACTAAAAAAGGTAATATATTTAAATAGCTTTTTCCAAATTTGATGCGGTTTTGTAAATACTGATTTAAAAAAATAATATACAAAATAGGGAATTTTATATTTTTTTTCTGTGCCATCATGTACATGTAAAATTTACAGTAACCTTAAATGTCAAATGTTTCCATAAAATATGATAACAAAAGATAACATATTTAACTTTTTATGACAGATGTTGCAATTTCAACTCATCTTAAGTGTAAAAACATTTTTTTGCAAATGAAAATGAAAATAGAGCAGTGCTGCGGTAATGACATCTTGTGTCGAAAAAGGACACAATGTTAAACTGCCACGACAAAAAATGGCATGTTTACATATTAATATATACTTCAGTACTAATAATATACTGAATTAATATACAGTAAACCTTGAATTTGTTTCTACCGCAACACAAGGTCTTTACCGCAACACCTAAATCTACTGCGGTAAAGACATGTTGGTGAAATCCCATTTTTGCTAATACTTTAGCTAATTGGCAGCTAGCAAGGCCTACCACATAAGTTTTGTCTCTTAGCATCTTAATATACATGAATTCAACAGTATTATGCAATTATTTTTAAAATGTAGTTCAAAATTCACAATTATTAAGCTGAATGGTAAGGACACACAATAGAGCAGAAAAGATGATGTTTAGATGATGAGACCACGGGTGTGGGACATTAACAAAAACGGTGTTTTGAGCTATAAATGCTTCATAATATTATATTTAATCACATTTATCAGTAATTCATTTTTTTTCAAGGTGTGTAATTGCACTGTGAATATATTTATGAAATATCAAAAGACAAATTTGAACATAAATCAAAAATTTCACTGCTGGGACTTAAAAGTGGTGTTAGTTTCATTTAATGGCTCAAGTTAGTTTATTGAAATATTTATATACAGTTACATTGTGAGGTTTGCCTCCTAAATGTTTTCTATTTTATGCTTTAATAAATCTTACATTGTTGCACCCCGAGCCCAGTCCACCTAGGAGCATAACATTACTCTTTTTTCCAAGCAGTTCACTTCATATAGTATTGCAGTAATATCCTAATGAATTTGAGGGAAACAAATCCCATGAAGCATTGCGAACGGCATAATCGAATTAGAAAAATAAAACTACACATTTACAAATGTTGATTATACATAAAAAAACAACATCTTTAAAGTTTTTCAAAATGTCTGTCTGTATATACAAACATACAAGTATTTTGAGAGCGTATGGAGATCGACAAGATTATGTCATTCGAAGTGCTTCATGGGAGTGGGCGGAGCTAAAAACTCTTGGCACGTTCAGTTTCTTTCGACTCTGATTGGTGTAACTTTCTGTACAGTATCATTGGTAATGTAGTTTTTCCACAATGCTTTCTGCTGTTAAACACAATTAATGTAAAAGATAAGCTGAAATAATGCAGGCTGAAGGCATCAGCAGAAACAAACATGGATTAACTACCTCATAGCTTAGAGTAGGTTTATCTTTAAAATATTCATAAGTTATCATTCAAAATTAATTTCCCTATGGATTTTTTACTTCTGGAACCTGACGGTTTCACTCCATAGGGGGAGCCACAGTGGCTTTTTTTTCATACGTCATTTGCACCTCAGAGCCTGTCTTCTTAATGGATAATATATATATATATATATAAATGAAGAGTTCAGATGCAAAAGCCTCTAAATGCCATTTGAAATTTTCTTCTTTAATGATGATTTTTACCAAAATTGTATATTTAAGTTCAGTAATTTCACTTAAATAACAATTAATAGGTAATTATCATTGCCATTTAAGTGAAATTACTGAACTTAAATATACAAGTTTGATAAAAATCATCATTAAAGAAGAAAATTTCAAATGGCATTTAGAGGCTTTTGCATCTGAACTCTTCATATATATATATATATATATATATATATATATATACGACTCAATTGTACGCATACGTTTTTATACGCATATTTTTATAATTTATGCACATCTTGGTGTTTGTGTGGAAACATAGCAGATAATAATGTATACCTTGAATGCCATGAGATTATTTGTCTCCCAAAATGACTAAATATTTTAAATCTTCTTGAATATTCTACAAGAGAACAGTTAAGAAATGTTGTCTTGGTTTCCTTTAGTTCCCTATCCCTAGAAAAATAAACGGAAAAGGTGTGGTCACAATTTTAGCATTTGGTGTGCTAACACTTCTGTTGGACCAACCTAAACCTTTTGTGAAATCTGTGTGAGGAAATCTTTCGCCCTCAAGTGAAATTCCAGATTGCTTGGATTCCTATAAAAATTACTGGCTTTTACCCACTGGATGTGCCGAACAACGGGAAAACGTGACCACACTTTGATGCTGCACTAAATGCTTGGTTTGAATTCAAGAAAATGAGAAATTCAAGTCTAGAAAACCATTACTTTTTAACAGTCATTTGTTAATTTCTATATAGAGAAAACTCCACCTACATGACAAAAGGTGCCTTTTCTCTGACCGCAATATCAATTCAGCTAGCAATGGCAACGGCTGCAAATAGACGTTCCCATTTGATTTCACTGGATCACAAGATTCATTATCAAGGTTTCGTATTCATCTTTTAGGTTAAAGACCTATAAGCACCATATAGACCTAAAGTAGCATTACAATATTAAGCTGATAATGTTTGGTCATTTGTACACAAACATAATAGTTGCTGATACAATGATCCAAGGAGAACATGAATATTGGTGTATAGGAATTTGTGCAAAAATGGTCTTGGTTTTTACAATTTTTAAGTCATGTAAGAGTATAAGACAGCTATGTTGGAACAAATCCAGTAAAGTAAAAAGTTCAGTTTTTGTCATTAAAAAATGGTCACAAATCATGTCCATTATATCATAAAAAAGTGACCAAAAGCATCTCCATCAATTCCAATTCAGTGACCTATTTGCATTCTAGCTTTTATTATTATTATTTTTTTTTTTTGTAAAAACCAAAATCCCTGCACAAATTCCTATACACCAATATTCATGTTCTCCCTGGATCCTTGCATAAGCAACTATTATGTTTGTGTGCAAATTATCAAACATGATTTTATTATTATTTTTTTTTCAGAAATCATGCATGACTTATGTCAATTGTTGGGATCATTCATCATGCAGACGTTGCATTTGCTGACACTCTCCTGGCCAGGACTTTGAGGATTGGAGTTAAAGTGCTGCATGTTTTCTTTTGTCAGCCAGAAACTGAAGCTGGAGGTGAAATACTGGCATGTGCCAACCGGACCTCGGCACTCCATGAACGGCTGACTGTGGAAGTTCTGCAAGCAGCTTCCTGTTGACGCCAGAGACTGTTCCCCTGCCTTTTTCTCTGATCCTGCATACTGGAACACCAAAATTAAGTTGCATCATGTGATTGGTTTAAAATGTAAAGAGATACAGTACACACTACTACTCAAAAGTTTGAGGTTGGTAAGATTTTTCTTTTGTTTCTGAAAGTCTCGTAGGCTCACAAAGGCTGCATTTATTTGATTAAAAATAAAGTAATATTGTGAAATATAATTAAAATTTTAAATATCTGATTTGTATTTGAATATATTTTTAAATGTAATTTATTCTGTGACCAATATTGAATTTTCAGCATCATTACTCCAGTCTTCAGTGTCACATGGTCCTTCAGAAATCATTCTAATATATTATATAAATATAAATATATACAAATATAAATCTTTACTGTCACTTTTGAACAAATTAAAACATTTGTGCTGAATAAAATGATTACTTTCTTAAAAAATAAATCCTACTGACCTCAAACTTGTGAGTATGATGTTAGCATGATGCTAACAACAACACAAGAAAAATTACGCACGAACCAAGTAAAGTTCAAAATAAAGTTTGGCACTACACCAGAAACGCAAACTATAAGAGTAACTATAAGAGTGTATATATATATATATATATATAACTATATATGAGACCTTACAAGAACTCTTTTGACCAAATTCATCTTAAATATAATTGCAGCTAGATAGCAGGTGCATTAGCCACAATTAGCATCAAATTACTTGTCAAAATATATACGATTATTACGTTTTTATCTCGAAACCCATCATTGAGTACTTGTAATAACTGCCGATCGCAATCTAAAGTTGATTTTGATTATATAACAGACATGCACTATTTTTAGTGTTTTACAATAGACAGAATGCTACACCTTCTTAGCATTACCCATGTAAACCCAGAGCCTCATGATATGATCAATTATGCGTAATATGATCGACAGGTTACGTTTTTATACATGTGAAAGACCCCTAAGGCAGCCTTCGAAGTGGGAAAAAAAGCTCTTATATGCCGCTTAGTAGGGTTTGGAACAGAGCTGTACTTCTCTTCTCTTACCATAAGGAATGAATATCCAGTCCAGAGGCTTCTCCAGTTTGGTGGACAAAGTGGTGTAGACAAGTCTTGACTGTGTATTGCAATGGCTGGCGATGAAGCATCACACACCACACACCTGCTGATGTGTGGCCGAATTTCCATTCCTCTTACAGGCGCCATAGAAATCGAGGCGGTTGTAGACAGCCAATAGGATTTTTCGTTGCGGCTTGAGTAATTACAGAAGTGCATATCGCAGGAAGAGAACGGGATGGTGCTGAACATCGGTACACATGAACCTGCCTGGCCTGGTGAAAACACACACACAAAAATAAGTTTGAATATTTCACATCAATATGATGTGTTGATATTAGGGTTTTTATAGTTAAATAAAACCATAAAAAATATCTGTTACTAAAATTTAAAATAAAAGTTTCAAATAAAACAAAAAAAGCAAACTTATAATCTCAGCTAGTTGCAATAATGTTTTTGATGTACTGAACTAAAATAACTAAATACAACTATAGACCATTTCACAAGATGTAAACAACACTGGTCCAGAAGCACTTCCTGTTTCAGTTTTTTAACACTACATAAAAGCTGGGATAAAATACAACCAACAGAACATTTAAAACTGAATCAAAAAGTTAAACAAACATCTATAAGATGTTTTCTTTACATGTGAAATAAAGAAAACAGTTACAAACTGAAACAGGAAGTGCTTCTGGACCAGTGTTGTTTACATCTTGTGAAATGGTCTATATAGACATTTAACGAATAACTAAAATTACTAAAACGGACTAAAATTAAAATGAAAAAATAAATAAATAACTAAATAAAAACTTAATAATAGAATCTCAATGATACTAAAATAACTATAATTCTCTGTTCCAGAACCTAATCAGCGTTTAATGGAATCACAGGCACTTTTGAGTGTGACCGTGTGTATTAGCCACATACCCAGGTCTTGTGTGTGTCCTCTCTTATGATCCTGCATATATTGCAGGCTGTAGCCGGTCCATAACACGGTTAGGCCCAGGGGACAAGTTGGCACAATCTCAGACTGGCTGTGCATCACCAAAAGGAAACCTGAGGAAAACATCTTGTTGTTTCCAGGAGGACCCTGATCACCATCTGGTCCCGGGGGTCCTGAGACAGATAAAACGATGGACAAATGGTTGGGTTGACAACTGGTTCGATGTGAGTCACTGTGGATAATAACATCTGCTAAATGAATGAATGTTAATGCAGTTGATGAATGATCGGATAGAACAGTGTCAGGCCTAGTTGAGTCAGTAAACACTCTAAGTTGTTAACGATACACAATTACATACCCTGAGAGCCTGTGGGTCCTCTTACGCCTTTATTTCCAGGGTTTCCAGGAGGTCCGTCGGATCCTACTGGCCCAGGAGGTCCAGGGAAGCCATCAGCTCCCTTTGGTCCCTTCGCACCTGAGCAGAAACTACACTGTCAACTCTACTAGAGTGACCATATGTGATTTTGCGGTACAATCAGGATGTTGATTGTTTATAAAAGCAAGAAAATATAGTTGGTATATACAATATATATATATATGAAGAGTTCAGATGCAAAAGCTTTTAAGAGCCATTTGAAATTTTCTTCTAAAATGGTCATTTTTATCAAGCTTATATATTTAAGTTCAGTAATTTCACTTAAATTGCAATGAGGATTACCTATTAATTGTCATTTAAGTGAAATTACTGAACTTAAATATACAAGCTTGATAAAAATGATCATTCTAGAAGAAAATTTCAAATGGCACTTAGAGGCTTTTGCATCTGAACTCTTCATATATAAAACTTTTTCCCAAATTTGCAACAACACTGCCAAGAATAGGAGATATTTCATGTTCAAATGAATCCTGGTTACAAATATACGACCTGCTGTTGAAATGAGTTGTACCTTTCGGTCCCTCACTGCCATTATCACCGTTTTTTCCATCATCACCATATGGGCCAGATAAACCACGAGCACCAGGAAGGCCCTGAGGAGGATGACAAGGATTAGGGCGTCTGACATCGCCAGGCTCTCCTTTTGGACCTACAAATACAAAAGGAGAGAGATTGAAAGGGGTATACATTATAAATGTGTTGATTTATAAGATGGCCAACTTGATGATCTGAAGGCTCCACTGACCTGGGTCCCCTTTCTCTCCTTTTGCACCACACGGTCCTGAAGGTCCACAATCACCAATGGGTCCACCGGGTCCCGGAAGGCCCATAAGCCCACACTGCCCTCTTTCACCTGCACAATAATGATAATGGAAAAACCTAAATCACAAAACGGTTGGAAAATATTTAGTTTCGCATG